TTGACCACGGAGCGCTCCTGTTCGCGAACCACCACGAAGACATCGCCGTGGGAGCCCTCGCCAGCCTTGGAACACTTCGTGAGGTCCCTGGAGAAATAAAAAAACAAAACAAAAAAGGCAGTGTCATCGCTCGCGACAAGACGTTAAAAAGCGCACTCCACGCTGGGTCCATCCCTACGACCTTGTGGGACTCGGTGTCACATTAAGGAAAAACTGTACTGATGCGCATTATTCATCCGCTGCGCGAACTAGTTCTTACACGATTTGGTTATCGAAAGAATACAAGATGTTTTTGGCCCTTGAACCGTGTACGTCCTGAGACGATAACAAAATGCCCGTTCACACACTTGCAACTGAGTAGGACCGATCGAGACAGGACCAGTTTCTAAGCCTCTTGCGACGGCTTTGGACCAGCTCCGCAGCAGCGCTTTCGGTCCTAAGCGTCGCAAAATGCTTAAAAGCGGTATTGTCTCGGTTGATCCTAGTTGGTTGCAAGTGTGTGAACGGCCTCAAAGCTAATGTAACATACACCTAAATACAAGGTGTTTTGCTTTTGTTTTTATAAACTTTACAGATTTGTTTTGTTTGTTTGTTTTTGTTTTTTTTTAAAGCCGTGAAAGATACACTTATGCGGTTTGTGCAGGTGAGTTATATGGCCAGTGGCACATAGTATAGGAAGGTAATCGTAACGCCCAGGCGGCTAATTAAGCAAAAATTTGTTCATTCTTTTTAATTGGTGAAAATAGACATATGGTTTAACTTAGAAACTTGCTGAGCCTCATCAAAAACCACGAAATCAGTAACTTTTGAAACGTCTCAGCGTGTGAGAAGCGCACACGGGCAGCAGGAGCAAGGCTACCGCTGAGATAAGACGCCCGCACGATTTTACCTTCTCTTATCATAGCGACTGTTGACGTGGTACCTTAAGCGCACTACTAAACTTCCCACCCGCTCACCCGCTTGAGGCGTTTCCCACCCGCTTGAGGTACACGTCCGTCTCGAGCCCGATCGACTTTTCTGGAGCTCACTCCAGAAAAGTTGATCCCGGCGCGCTCCAAAACGACCAGTGGAATTTGCCATAAGAGTGTATGATGCGTTGGCACAGTTGTAGGAAACCAACGCACATGCATTCACCAGGCACGGATGTCTGGTTTTCTGCCGTGCACCAAACAGTAACACAGGAAGCGATGGCGAATTGCACCTCCGTGCGTTGTATGGTTCACGGCAACCAATGCAGGAAGCAGCGTGCGAGAGGCCATAACTAGTTACTGACAAGGTGACAACGGCGGCCAGAAGCTTCAGTTGTCCCGCCTCCAGCGTGAGCGTCCTATAGCTTCGACAACGCTTGGACCTCTCGCGCGCCCCGTGTGCGCAGTCAAAGCACGGTAGAAGGCATGGAGCGCGTGCTAAAGGCCGGGCGTTCGAAAGACACGCCCTGCCGTTCTCATTCTGTCAGTGACTATACGGAACGCAAGTTCGTCTGCTTCTTTTGCAGGGGTTGCGGTGACGTCAGAAGGACGCCGAGCCCTGATTGGTTTTGTTTGAAGGATAGTGGGCAGACCTGAAAACGAGCTGCCTCGAGGTCTACCCACTATCCTTCCATCAGATCCAAGCAAAGCTCGGCATTCTGACGCTACCACAACCCCTGCAAAAGAGGCAGACGAACTTGCGATCCGCGTAGACATTGTTCTCAAGGGAAGTGAAGTGACGACATCTTGAATGTCGTCACTTCCAGTATGCATGGCGAAAACACTGTTTTGTCGTCGCCACGCCGAAAGATGATGTTCGCGAGGTTATAAGCGTAACCGCCAATCATTTTCGTTTTGCCACACCTCTATTTTATTTTCTCTTTGCAAATGTAAACTTTTTTTTTTCTTTGTTTAGATTAGATGTGCACCAGGTGGCTGGGGACGAGAGTAAACGAAAAAGGTGTAAAGCTGAAAAGACCCGCGCACCTCTGTTCATCAAAACGTCTGACGGGTCGTACCGAACGTACGAAAAATGTCCGAATTCGACATGATTTAACGCGATCGAATTCCATTAGACACCCGAATAGTGACTGTGTTTGAACAAATAGAAACGCACACAAAACGAGCACTTTCACGCCCGCTTTACGCGCCGGGAATCTCGGAGGTCGGGATTCGGCCGTCCTTCTGACGCAACGTCCGACTCGTCGAACGTCTTGCTATACGTGACAAAATTTGCGGCAGGTTTTACGATGCGTCGGACGTTAGGGATGTGCGTTTGTTTGGAGTTAAAAATGCTCACTCGTAAAGCGGCGGCAAATAATCGTACGCACGTCCACAGAGCATTCATGGGTGCAGAACTACGCGTGCTTTCTGGGCCCGTTTTCTCGAACGCAAACCGTGGTTTAAAGTTAACTATTGTCCCTAGAACGGGGAATTTTAGGTCACGTGACTGGGCGAGCAGGGGCGCCGAGGGAGAAGCAGTACCTACAAGCAAAATGGCCGCGACGTCGCTTAATGAGGGCTAATAGTTCTGCTTGGTTCTGCCGAACATTCATTTCGATCCGGCTGTTATATTAATGACGCACCATCAACCTATTAGCACGTCAAGCAAAGCGGTAGTTCAGAGGGACAACTAAGCTAACCGACGGCATCATTCCGCGAACGCATCACTCTTCACCAGTCCGGGACCCAGGACATATGACGGTACATCAGCCTTGCAAGTGTTTTTATGGTGAGTAAAAAATGTTTTGCGAACAAGCGTTGGTATACGAACAGGTTTAATTTGTTACACTATGCACGCCAACTCGCGAGCAGCGATTACTTTGCGGATAAAGGGGGTTATCTTCGATAAAGTCTTCGTTCCGAGTAAACAGCTGGGACATTGTACCGTTTTTTTTTTTTTTTTTTTTTTGTTCGCAGTGCGCCGACAGTATGCCGACAGCATCGAGGTTTCTACATATCCCCGGTGGCCAGCAATTCAACGGTGACGAGAACCTTAGCTTTACGCTGAAGCAGTGCCGCTGCGTCTGGTTCTGACCGCGACGGTCGGTCGATGCATCCACCAATGGAAAAGATAGTACAAGCGCGGTATACGAATCAACCTTGCCGATGTCATCTGCAGAAGTCCCAGAAACGAGAAATAAACAAACACTTACCACAAAGAAAGTGGACGAGATCATCCTTTCGCTTTTTTTTCGTTTTTAAAAGTGATATTAGGATTATCTTTCGTCTTATTGCGATATATAGCAAAACGCAGGTGTGCGGGTAGAGAAACCAAGGTAGCAGACGATAGTGTCCTGTCCGCAAACGTCGGTTGAAAATGAACCAAGCGTCAGTATCGAGTGCTTGCGAACAGAGGCAAAAAATTATGACATTAGACGAGAGATTGAAGTTAATTCGGGAAGTTGGGGCAAGAAGGGAACAAATTATGGGGAAATTCGGTCCTGCAGTAACTGCACACACGAGACAGCAGGCGTGGCTCGACATTGCCGATGCAATGAATGAGCAGGGAGCTCAGAGGACCGCAAAGCAGCTGAAGGAGGCGTGGCAAAACCTCCTGAAAAAATGCAGAAAGGTCTACAGCGCCTACAAGAAGCATGAAGGGCGCACAGGTGAGTCGGAGGAATTTTGCATATTTCGAAAAACAAACTAGTTTTCAATTGTTCGCTTTAAAGATGAGTGGGGGGGGGGGGGGGGGGGGGGGGGCAGGGCAGGTACACAAAAAATAAACAGAACCTTTTCTGCCATGGATTATGATGCCGTGTTAACATTTAATTTTTTTATGGCATGACTGATGACAGATATAAAAGTGAGTGTTGGCGTGTAACTTTCCACTACATTCCTGTCCTTGTTCGAAAACAGTAATAAAATCAAGAGGCAACATCTCAAAACAATTTATTGAAATTTCCTTTACATGAAACAGCAGAAAGTGTGGTAGACCTGAGACAGAGGAGATCAAAATGTTGAAAGCACACCACCTAAACTGTGCCTTTCTGTTGTTTTTAAGAAAACAGTCCTAAAACTTGGGGCATAGTTGTTCATCGAACACGTCGCTGAATACCCTACACTACTGCATCCTCAAGGCACACAGAAAGCACTATGTACAAAGTTTACTGCAGCACAATTGCACGCAGCGATGAGCATGTTGGAAGGTCACTGCTGCGAGATCACTCCACTGCAATGTTAAGAAGTTACATTTCTGCCACACAGTATAAATTACTATGCTTTCATTTGATGCTTCATAATGCCGTTGGATTTCTGCTGTTTATATTCTAGCTTGGTAGTTGGTTATTGATCCCCCTCCACTCTGCAATGCCTCTGGGGCCCGGGTGACTACGGAATGAAAATTATGTGCATTCATTTGGTAGGTGCCGGCCCGAACCCCCATGAACTGACGCCCCTAATTCAGGCAGTTCTCGACGTGATCGGCGTCGACTCGCCGAACCTGTGTGGGCTCGATGTCATTGAGGGTGACACGGAAGAGTGAGTGGATTACTCTTACATCAGTCTGTATGACAAGTCAACAGCACTGGGTGCCGGGCATGCAGAACAGCTCTGTTATTAATGGTGGGACCGTAAGAAACTGGTGTGAGAACAGGGAGATTGTAAAAATTGTCATAGTGCCATACACACAATATCTAATTGGAAATCAGCGCACTTTCATGTATCACTACTGCGTGATGCAGGTTAGGGATAGGGAGCCCAGGCTAGCGGACATACTGCACTGCCTTTGGGTCACTTATGACAAGCATGTAATCATGAATTTCTCTTCATTTTACTCATACGGCTGCATAATTGCTCTACAAACAACCTGCAAAAAAACACACACAGAAGGATAAGCAGCAAAATCTGCTCATTACTAACATAGCTAACAACCAGACAACAGAACTACCGATGTACCAAAGCCAGATATCCGAACAAAGAAGAGTTGTAGTACACTTTTTGATGGTTGAAGGAGTGCAAGGTGGTGATATTTAGTTCTAACCGCTTAACAAACAGGTGCAACATGTAAGACAATATGCTTCCTTTTGAAAAAAAAAAAAATAGAGGTGCACCCCTGTTGTTACGCATGAGTGAACAAACTCATTGTTTATGCTGTGACGAACTAGTGCGGAACGCAAAAAGGAAAGAGGTAGCGTTGATGGCATCAGTTATCGGTTTAACAGGAGGGTCGAAAGCCATAGCGAGATTGACTGTATACATAGCCAAGCGAAGACTTTCTTGTAGCATCGTGGATTTCGTGAACAACGAGACTTGAATGTTTGGTTTCACAACATCCTTAGGTGAAATAAACGGCAAGGTTAAGAAATTTATAAGAAAGCTAAAGGTAATGAAATACTGAAAGTTGCAACCGGTACAAGGAATATTACCGTAATATCCCGAGAGACGATTCATCCCCAACAGATAGCCCATCCTGATTTGTAGCAGGACTTTCTATTTTTCAATGGCTCAAGTTGAGCTACCTTGTGAACACCGAATGTTAGCCTACCCCTTATTTTTACCTAATGTGCTCTCAGTTTTGGGTGGGCGATTTCTCGGGATATTATGAGCATTATGTGTGTGGCCCACTCGGAGATGCTTGAAGCGTCAGAGAGTTTCTATTCTACAGTTAAGTACACTGTGGCAAAATTCAAGCAACATGTCGGGGTTACAGACACTGTATGTTATACAGTGTCTGTAACTGTAAATATGTTATACGTAGGTTGCCTGCACACTTCTAATAACTACAGCAAATGACTTCCTGCATATCCATTTGTCACAGCGATAGCTTGAGGCAAACGGCAGCGCCGCAGCCTCGGGCGTCAGGAAGCGGCCAAAGGGTGGCAGCAGCAGAAGAGTGGGCAGCAGCTCCCCGTGTCTTGCAGACGAGACGTTGGTGCCGGGAAGCTGCGCAGAGATATCAGCAGCAAGCTGAGGACCAGCAGCGGATGGAGGCGGAGAACCTCCTGTTGGATAGGGAGGCAACAAAAAGAGCAATAGATGCCTCCAATGCGCAAATCGCTGCAGCAGATGCTGCTAAACAGTATTACACTGAAATGCTAAGGCTACAAACCTTGCAGGCTGAACTTCAAATTGAGCTTTTGAAAAAACAATTGGGAAAGGAGTAATCAGAACAGACCAAGGGGGGGGGGGGGGCATTAAGTTCTACTATTTTTTTTTTTTAGATTGACGAAGCAAGGGCGGATGTGAAATAATAAAGTACATTTTGAAATGCAAGGATTTGTGAAAACCTCAGTATGTTATGGGGTAGTCGTCCCTGGAGAAAAACACTCGACCCTATGCGACAGCCAGTAAGATGGTGCAAGTAATTTTAACCAATAATTAAATATTTTTATCACCTCCTCAGTATTCCAGAGTACCACATTGGTATCCGACACCAGCGACAATCTAACCAGCTGAAGCCTGTCGACACGTCAAAAACATCATTGTTGGGCACTAAGGAAAGAAGCTTAACAATTCGACCCTGCACAAAACAAAACAGCAAGTAAGCAAATAACCTAGGAAGTGCCTGCACGGCGCAAACAGTGATTATGTGTTTAAATGCATGGTTACTGGTGTGACCACTCGGTGTGCCTGATTTGTTCGAGGAGAGTGTGTCGCGGAATTTACACCGTTCAGGAACTCTGTACTCTCTTTGTTCACTTCCCGAAGTAAACAGGCATTACCATAATTCAACATTGTTCGACAGCGATTTTATACACCCTTTACTCTTTTACTAAGTGAAATAACCAATGACAGAATTATTCCTCTTATGTACATGACCCATTAGTGGCTGTTATAATCAGACCACTACTGTGACGCATACAGGTTGACTCCTCTCACCTGTAGAATACTTTTAAATATGGTAATAATGGTACAAACTTATAGGACAGAGGCGCAATAAAATGAAATGGTATTATTTTTCAGGCTATTATTTCGCTCACCCCTATAATTACTCGCACTGAGGACATTTATGTTCGCGTAGCCTGTAGTACGAAGACAAGCACGATGACCAACACACAGAAGTGGGCCGAAGCTTTTCGCACAAAAGCCGCACGCACTGTTGACCGAGGCACGCAACAGCAATATATTGCAGGACTTTTGCGTATGTGGTTCCATGGGTCATGCAGCAATTTCACTGTTAAACGCAGTTGCAATTATGCTGCTTGACCAACTCTAACCTTTTACAATGAGGTACGCTGCAAGCGAAACTGGATGAGGCGAGAATGATTCTGATCCGTGCCTGCAATGCTGTTCAGAAGAGTTACCTTGTTTGGACACCGCCACATTACATCTTAAGTGCATGTCATTGTTGCAACCAACAAAAAACATGCTGCAATGAAGAGGGTTTGCGAGACAATATGGTTTGCAATGCTTGAGGCACTCTTTCTGCTATAATGTTCAGAATCAGGAAAGGGTACAGACGTCTTCAATATGAGGGTGGACGCCTGAGCGGCATAGGACGGGCGCTGCATCGTCTCCAAGCGACGCTTTTTGCAAGGATAGCAGTCGCAGCACAAATCTGCTTGCTCTAATATCTGCCAACACTTCCATTCTTTTGCAACGAGTGAATTCCCCAAAGCCTGTTTACCCTCGTATTGAAACCATACATGAAGAGTGCTTAATAAAGATTTAAAATATCTATGTTCTCCAAGGAATATGTTGGGGTTGGTCCAGCCCCTTATATAAGCTGCTGGTAAAACCACAGCCAAAAGATGCCACGAAGCATTCAAGAAAATTTATTATATGAAATCGCGTGCCACATTCAACTTGTTATTACGGTTATCCATTTACGGAGCCTGGTAAACACACAGAGAGGACAATATCTCTGTATGTTTCTCGCATTCAAGAAAACCAGTTTGAATTGAAAAGACCACATACTTACGCTCAACAGAAGAACTGGTCGACAAGGGCACGCCGGGCCTCGTTGCTTTCTCCACGGTCGGCTGCCATGGGCTCCACAGGAACCTCAGGCGGGATGGCAGTCCCTGGCATCGCACAGGGGTATCTCTTGGCGAGATTGTGGAGCACGCAGCATGCCACGATGATGTCGCAGCATCTGCTTGGCTCCATGCGCAGCTCGGCGTGCAGGCAGTGGAACCTGCGCTTCAGCTGGCCTATTGTCCTGCGTGCATCATATGGACAGGATGAGTATTATTTATTTAAATTACACTAATATATTAGGGCTGAGACTATTTCATGCTTTCTGAATGCTGTAGCCTACCGAAAACCCGGCAATCATTTCTTATCATTGCCAAGATATATAACAGTATGTTTACATGTAGACCATATTAAACTTCCCTCGACAAATGTTCCTCATAGCTGAGTGTAAGCGAAACACAGTTTCATACAAACAGTCGTTAACATTAGCAGTCCGAAGATGTCTGTCAATGACTTCCCTATAGCAACCCGAGCCCGGTGCAATTTGTCACATTTTTACGGCGAGTCCCAGCAGTGTGGAGTATTTTAGAATGTATGGCAAGTAGGCGTGTAATTTCTGTAAAGGTGGGGCCGGAAAAAAAAAACACGGCTTTGCATTTGTATCTTTTTGCTCTTCTGAATCCAGGTTGAACCAAAATATTGCCTTTCACACGTATGTAACAAATCCTGCCCCTAACGAAAGAAACAATGTGATATGTTCTCCAAAAAATATGTTGGAGAATATTTCACGTTTTTGTTTTTTGATACGATGCATGCGTTTTGCATGTCTGCTTTTTATGCAAAACTGCATATATGTGTCTATGTTGCACCCTTATGCAGGCCCTCGGGCTGTATAGGGGCACTGGAAAGTACAATAAATAAATATATATTCTTGGGATAGTATTTTCTTTCTTCTCTCTTTAGGTTCCGTGCAATTACTGTTTTCTGCTGGGTCTAGAGAACACAAAACTGCATGTAGGGGCGTTACAATTAACAGTGTCTTCTGTGCTATGACAACAAAATGTTACGTTGTCTAGTGGCATTCTTTTCAATATAGCAGCCCAGTAACCCACCACGATGCGTGACTTTGTCTTACCTTTCAACAATACTCCTTGTCGTGGTGTGTGCCGTGTTGTACCTCACTTCTGCTGCTGATGATGGCGACAGGAATGGCGTCATCAGCCACGGCTGGCAGGTGTAGCCGCTGTCGCCGAGCAATAGGCCATCGTAGATGCCATCGGCCAGCTTGACTGATAGTGTGCTCTCGGTGAAAATCCGGGAGTCGTGCGTGCTTCCTGGCCATCTCGCAACCACATTGCGTATGCGGCAGGACGCGTCAACTACCACCTGTACGTTGATGGAATGGTACAGGTGGCGGTTCACGTACACCTCCTCGTGCACGCGCGGTCCCTGGATTCGAATGTGGGTGCCATCAACAGCACCCACGACACAAGGGAACCCGGCTACGTCAAAGAACTGCTCCTGCAAGGCAGCACTCTCTGCGACGTCAGGCCACCTGCATTGCCAATACATTCACAAGTTAATTTACAGCACAATACCCTAGCATGCACATTTATGCAAAATTTAGCAGACAACATTCATTTTTTTTTCTGCTTCAGTGTTCATCGTAAAAAAGAAATGTCGTAAATATCGCCAAATGCCTCGACAAAACAAAATGTTCGACAAAACAAAATGTTCGAGAAAAAAAAAAGTGGGCCCACACCGCGGATCGAACCCGTGTCCACTTATGTATGAAGCAGACACCTTACCCCCCTATGCACGGTGTATGCCCCTATGCTATGCCATCTTTTCTTTTTTTTTAACCCTATGCTATGTTACCGCTTATAAAACACGTAGTAACCATTCGTGTTATAGGCTCCCTGCACTGACGTCACATCGCATACTTTTGAACACCAAGTAAAAGGAGGAGAGGGAAACTGCCTTTGTAAGAATGTTGAGTGACAGGTTAATCTTCTCTAATCATCTGGCAGGAGAATAGCAACGCCTGTGCAAACCCGGGAGGCACAAAGGAGGATCCTGATAAGAGGGTAGCTCCTTCTTTCCCTCTTCTCTGGAGGGCAGTTTCGCGTTGCGCGTATAGCCCTTTCCGGCCGAGGTGCACGACGGAGTGCGTATAGCTTTACTCATAAACAAACTCAACACAATCCGACTTTCTTTTTTTTTTGACTCGGAACGCTCAGGAACTCTTTACCGTATGAAGTCTTACCGTATGAAGTCCCTTGCTCGACGTGCCAAAGCTACGGTGACCTGCCTCACGGACCGTGAAGCACTAGAGACTTGCACGTGGACGTAGTCGCCTGCAGTGATGAGGAAGTTGCCTGTGGCGTAGAATTGCAGAGCGACGATCACCTGCTGCTCTGCGGACAAGGCGCAGCTGCGACGCGTCGACCGCTCCAAGTCCGGGCGCAGCGTCTCCGCGAGAAACATAATTCCCGCGCGACCAAACCGGAATCGTTGCTGCAGCGCATCCTCGTCGAATTCTTCCAGCGGATCGAGGCGGTCCCGGAACACACGTTGTCGTCCCAGCATGAGGACAGCGTACTGCGCGTACGCGCGGTCTCGTCGACGTCGACGCCTCGTCCCGTTCGACATCGTTTCCGTTATCAAAGTACAAATAGGTCCGCAAATCAGTTGTTAGTAAGTCCGCAGTCGGTCGGTGGGCTAATCGGTGGATCGGTTGGGCAAACGGAAGAGAGGGCAAACAGTTGAGATCAGCAGGAATCGTAGAAACGTGCGTCGCAGGGAACAAAAACGAGACTACAGCAGCGGCGTTGCCAGACTGGAAGGCACACGGGAAAGTTATGCGTTGTTTATGGCGAAACATATTGAAGGAAATGTTTCTTACGTTTTCAAATATTCGTCGACAAACTCTACCATGGTAGCTAAAATTTCTTCATAGCATCTGAAGCAAATAAATTGGTCTTCAAGTACAACATTACTATATTTTGACTTAAAATACCATACTAGAGCGATAACAAGCAGCGGAAAGAGAGAATAAACAAAATGACTGGTTTGTTTCACCGATAGATGACGCATCTTACTGCCCAATCAAAAATAATTATTGTGGTTTTATATCCAGCCGTTTATTACAGTACCTAGGTACTTTTTCCTTCCTAGGTACCGTGGTTTACTAAAATGGGTTTACCATCGCTTCGAGAAAACCGGCCCAGTGTGTAGTGACCCACCCATCTTCCCGCGGCCGGGGCTGTCGGGTAATCGGCAAATCAGCTCGTGGTCAGGACTCGGCGTACGCCTGCTGGCGTATGCTGATTCGCGGATTATTTTAAGTCGCGCACTAACGCCGCTTGCATAAAAAAAAAAAACGGTTCTACTTACACCAGTTGTAAGGCGTCTTCAAACGTCAACGGTCGCTCTTGCCCGCACATGCCGAGAAGGTGCGCGAAGGTATGCCCCGCAGTAGTCTCGGGGCCCGTCGGCGCTCCAGACTGAAAGACGCACACGTCATGTACTCCGTTCACCCCTAAGCTGAGACTGCGGTGGAAGCGACGTCCTCGTTGGACCAGTCAGACGCCTCTATTTCGCCACGTCCTCCCGCTCCCGACCTATAGGTAGTTTTCACTGACGTAATTTTGTCCCCCATTTTGTTGTTTTGAGCTATTTACCGTGTGCAGAAGGCAAGCATTCCAAGGATTTCCATGACCCCTTAAATGCGTAGAGCACAGAAGATTACAAGTCTTACCACGCTGACATCTCCTCGACAGGTTGCGATGTAATCCTTCATATTAGTGAATTTGTTTGAAAAAATAAACTAACAACAAAATGGCGGATTGACGTCATATGAAAACAACCTATACCCACGCGCGGAGAGCCGGGTCAGGCGATCAGGGGGAGGCGGCTGACTGGTCCGGCGGGCACAGAGCTCCCACCGTATAGTCTCAGCTTAAGCGTGAACGAAGTATAGTCAGAACGTATTTCTCCGACAAAAAGGCGACATTAATGCAGCATATAAACTCCTATGCATGAAAGACTCCCAAAGTTCCTGAAGAAGACTGTGTATAAACGACCCCGATCAATAAAAAAAACCACGGCAAAATAAGCAATCGAATATGTTTAATTGCTTTTTGTATAAAGCGAAAAATAAACAAAAAATGACAAATACGAATACAAATGTGGTTTGTCTGAAAAACTGTCGATGTAAAATGTAAAAAAAAAAAATTCAGTTTACAAAATAAACTAAGAAAAACGCAAATAGGCTGCAGGAGCATTCACCAATAAATGTACTATACATGCATGGTTTCTCAAAGAAAAAGCAGAGAAACGAGGACTGACATTAATTATATAAATAGAATTGATCCACTTCAACGTTTTCTTTTTTATTTATTTATTTATTTTTTTCCGACAACCATATGAAGGAGACTTTATCGTTCTTCTGAACTTCTCCGTGTACTATCGTTCTTAAATGTCTTTCATGTCTCTTGGAATATGAACCCCTTCGAAGCTTCGAGAGCGGCGGGCAGAGGACACACTTACTATACTACTGGTTCTTAGGTGGCTCCTCTTCTATACTCTTATTCACCTCAACTTGTGCACCGACGAATTCTCCTCAAAGAGAATTGTATGAGTGCGCCAACCAACGAGAGTGCCGGGTGTCCTCACCCGGCACTCCCACTGGGAGGAGTCCGAGTGCATGTTGACAGTTGATTCAGCCAGCAAATCGCAAGCAGATTTGTGGCGTGCATATTCACGGTCGCTCGCGGAGGAGCGGACGTCTGCGCTATCGATTTAGAACTGCGCAGGCCGGCTGCTCTACAACTACAAGGAAATGTAGTGCATAGAAAACATGATTTGCAGGTATCGTCGCGCTTCGTCGCCATCGCTTTCAATCGGGCTAGCTGCGCATGTGGACCGCGTTTGCAACTTCGCTGCCGCACAACATTGGCGCTGTTTATGTTGCCTGGTATGTGACATGCCTTTACGCTACGCCCGCGGTTTTGTTTAAGAAGTATATATTATTTGCTTCTTGAACTGGTAGCCTGCGATTTCAGACTCTCCAGCGTCAAATACCATGTCCGCGAACTGCTTGGTATTTGACGAATGACGTGGCACAAAAGAAGTAGAGAAAAAGACACTCAGGCTGCAAGTCTTGCGCCGTTTAAGTGGGCAGTTTGACGGTACAATTCTTTTATTTGAGAAAAGATGTTGGCCAAGTCGGGAGTGCTGTGTTTATTAACTAAGCAATGGACGTTTTCCAAATACCGACGGCACCAGGCGGTGGCTGCACAAAGTAAAAATCGAGGAAGTGACCTACCTGCGCTACCAATCGATAATGGGAGCTACGCTACCAGTTGCTTCGCTCTCTGAGCTGCGTCGTGTGCCCAACGCGACTTTAAAGAGGGGAATCCGTGGCCGTGGCGTCCACCCAAACGTCGTGATTTTCTTTCCGTCCACTTTCTTTTTTTGCGTAACAAAATTATATATATGCTGCAATTACGTGCTCTACTCGTCGATCTACAGCATCATTCCGCATTTCTTCGATTTTTCGTGCCGACTTCCACCGCTTGGCATCGGGCGCTTGCGCGTGCGCAGAACGCTTCTCGGAAAAGGTCCATTCTGTTTGTGAACGACTCGCTCTTCCGTGAACAAACGAACGCAGTCACTGCGGCCCCAGTCACATCCGCAGCGACTGCGTGCGATTCGTATTCTAAAAAGAATCACACCAATAAATTTGGACATATGGAAAATGATAGCTCAAAACGTGCTACATTATAAACCCTATTTAAGATGACTAGATTATCACGATTACGACGCTCGTAGAGAACTTTTTCTTTGGAGACATTTTTTGTTTATATTTGTTTCAAAAATGGCGTGGTAGTGCGACGGTGACTGGCCAATGCGCAGCCTGTAGAGGTGGAGCCTCCGGTGCACAAGTTGAGGTGAAAAATAGTATAGTTATTCGTACGTTTTAATTAAACTTCGAATTATCAAAGTGGAGGTCAACAAACTAGCCCAAACTTCCTGAGCTGCGAGCGTTCGTTTCATTCCACCCCAGTGCCTCACCCTAATACAAATACAAAGTGTAAAAAAAAAAAGTATACTTTTTTTTTTTACCGCAAAAATAAACTATAGGCATTGCCGAACGCTCATTTCCTGCCCAAAGGTAGCGCGAGAGGTCACAACCAGATGCCAAAGTTTCAGCCCGATCCGATACCGTATTCAAAAGTTATAACCGATCTTCTGAAAATTTCAATGGGAAAATGGCGGCCGACGGAGTTTTCGAATGCATGGGACTCTATGGGCACCAGAAACCGAAAACGGGCAAAAATGGGCTCCATTTTCCCATTGAAATTTTTAGAATATCACTTAAGTTTTGAATAAGGTGTCCGTTCGGGCTGAAACTTTGGCATCCGGTTCTGACCTCTAGCGCTACCTTTGGGCGGAGAATGAGCGTTTGGCGATGCCTAGTTTATTTTTACAATAAAAGAAAAAAATCCTCTAGATTTTTGTTGTTCTTGTTTTGTGACACCCTCTACAGATAGCGCGACAATTTTACCACGAACAAGCAATCTCCGGATGTTGCTGTTTTTTTAACTTTCCATTATCTTTCTTTTGCTTCATCTTTATTTATTTATTTATTTTCTTCCAATTCCGCATAACTACGTAAAACAAGCTCACGATACCAGTAGTGTAGCGAAAATCGCCGATTCGTGGTTTGTACGAAAGCGGTAAAGTTTGATGCCCTTCAGTGTAATGCCTGAATAAAATGAAAATATATGAAAGAAAAAGTTTTCGCTTACCGTATCACGCAGTACAGATAAAGACAAGCTCCCGCCAAACGTCATCACTAGTGGCTTCACGCAACGCCGCCTACATTGCGTTGGCATCTTCGACAGCGCGTGTTGCAGCGTCTCACAAGGAGTATATACGCTAGCACGCAGCGTCGCCAACGGCTCTGCGTGCTAACGTATTTACTTGGGGGGTCACGTAACCCCAAGATCGTTGGCGACGCTGCGTAGCACGCTAAGGGACGCGTCTGCCGGTTGGCGAAGGCTATCGTCGAGCTTCAGCCTGTTTGCCGCTTACGGCGAGTCGGGAATCCACTGACGATGACGGCACGAGCAGACCTTGTTTTCTACCTGGTATTACCATAACTCAATTCGAAATACGCGTCATATCCTACTAGTTTTTGAGAGAAAAAAAGTGAAAGCCGTTTACAACTCCCTGTAACGCCGAATTAAAGCGCAGCTCTTAAAGAGGAGGAGGGAAGGGTACTGAGGGGAGGGTAGACCCCTCCTCCTCCCCTCATTCCTTAATATGCTCCGGGGGGTCACCTGACCTCGGGGGGGGGGGGGGGGGGGGGGGTGTCGCATGACCTCGACGGGGGGGGGAGGGGGGGGTCACGTGACCTCGGGATGGGGGACACGTGACCTGGGGTGATCACGTGACCTTGGGAGGGGTCACGTGACCATCGGGGGTCACGTGACCTGGGGGTCACATAACCTTGGGGGGTCACGTGACCTGGGGGGTAACGTGACCTGAGGGGTCACGTGACCTCGGGAGGGGTCACGTGACCTTGGGAGGGGTCACGTGACCTTGGGAGGGGTCACGTGACCTTGGGAGGGGTCACGTGACCTGGGGGGGTCACGTGACCTTGGGGTGACCTTGGTTACGCCTACGGCGACGGCAACGCCGCTCAAGCCGGAAACGGGCACCTAAAGGCTCTGTTATACTCCGACGTAACGCGTGCGCGCGCGCGAGCGCGTCACAGCGACGTCACGTCGGCGAAAACCCGACGCTCTATAC